AGAAATGCCCGGTCAGGGTGTCCGACCAGGCTGAGCTTTTACCTGTCAAAACCTCAAATTTACCGGACAATTGTCTGATGACCGACTGTTATTTGCAGGCTCGACTGACATTTGCGCAAGTGTCGATGATGTATCAGCGAAGTGTCAGTGAAGTATCGGTGAAGTGTCGGTGTACTGCCAAATATATCAGCTGATATATATATCTGTCGATACATGTATATCGACCAAGTCTCAATCATGACACTGATTGCTAGTCAGTCCAGTATCGCTCGAATATCAGTTGAGTGTCAATTGAGTAACGACCAACATATCAACTGATACATTGGTCGATATGTCAATCAAAGCTCCCCATAAGATACATGATCCAAAATGGCTGTGCCTAGATGTCTGGCATACAACACGGACAGTGTTTTTAAAGTACTCAGTAAGCAGCAGTCAGAAACTTTTCCATTTATGACTATGTATTTATTGTGTTACCATTAAAATTATTGAAACTAATCGTAATCAGGACAACCGGGGCACCATTCAGGCTAACCTTAGCGGACACGGAGGATTTAAGATACTCCATGTCCGGTTAGCCTGAATAGCACTCCAGTTATCCTGAAAAATGTAAAGGTTAACCTGAATGGCACATTGGTTAGCTTCTCAAAAATAATTTCCTGGGATTATTTGTAATGCACTAATCAATTTTAACCCCGATCTCCAAACCCTCAGGGAGCTGTGGAGAAATTCACAAGAGTAGAAACTTCCCCCAGGTCCCAGGGACAGATTTAGAAGGTGATTGCCCTAGCCCATTAAGCCGTCAAGTTACAACCTGTGTGCACCAGGCAAATTTTTGTTTGTTTTGCAAAAAAATCTGTCATTAGTTGTATGTACAAGTGCACACAGTGATTTTTTTGCTACCAAATTTTGTAATGCCTTACCAAACTTACAAGGTGCCAGAATCCTGCTTTGGAGAACTTAAATGATAAAATCCTTAGCTTACATCAACCAACAATTTCTTCTCACCAAGTGAGGGACTGTTTATTAGCTATCACGTACAAATATCTCAGATATAAGCTCTAAGACCTAAGACCTCCTTGTAAGACCAACTTAGAAACTCAAAAACTAAGACCTAAGACCCCCTCCTAATGTGAAAAAACTTAAGACTTAAGTGTCCTCAAGGCTGGGATAGGGGTATGCATACTAGTCTTATAACTGTTGTGAAATTTTAATTGCTCTGGGGTCTCATCAATCATTTTATATGTCTGAAAATACATTACATGTATGTAGCTCCCTTCCCATATAATATTGCAATACAGCATGCAATGCAAATGTATATGTTAATAAATTTATTTATTCTTGGTATAACCAATAAATGCTACATGTATGATGTAATGATCCTCTCCACCCAAGTCTAAGTTCAGCCTGTAATTTATTTTGTAAGTGTTTAAGGAATATTGCTTTTACTGTGATTGACCACTTCCAGTTCATTACATGTATAACCAGCTTTAAATATTTTATTATCAAAGCATAATACAATTGGCCTACCTCACAAGTTGGAGTCACTCAAGAGTTGCTCTTCGTGTTCTGTTGAGTGGTACATGTAATTACATGTATATATGTGTGCTTGGCTGTGCCTTGTGCCTTCTACTATGTACTCTCTTGTGTTTCCCATGTGCTTAATATGTGATTCAATAATGCACTCAGCATGCTAACTGTTTTTAATAACTTTTTTCATGCGCCTACCCTCATTTTGTACAGCACTGAGAATTGAAAAAGAGGTTACTACTTGTTATGAATTTTATAGGGAAATACTTCAGTTAGAGATGAATCAGAGGAAGGAGGATTTTATGACAGGTAAAGACTAGTTACTGACATACATGTAGTTTATTTTCTCCCTGTGATATCTTGATTGGATATTAGCATGTCATTTCTTTTTTTTTTTTATTTTTTGATAAACATTTTGTACTGACACTACTCACCGTATTGAATGGCAAGTTGCATTACTAACAATTAGACTATGACTTACTGAAGGATAGCTAGTTGGAAAACAATGCATTTGTTTACATACATGTAACTTACATTTAATAGCAGAGCTCCAGTGAGCAAAGCATGCCACCAGAGCACCATAGGTAAGAATTTGCTTATAATTTCATTCCAAAGGCAGCACTCTGAATACAAGGCTGCAGACGGATCAGGGTTACGCCAAATTGCACGTGTGACACCATTTGCGCCCACAACGTAAGTAATATTGTTATACTTTTATTTGTGATATCTTCAAATTATGTTGAATCAATTTCAGTCTATGGGAACTTAATGCAGAAGGATTACCTGGAATCAAATCATCCCAGTTACACTATTCAATTGATAAGAATTATAATAATAATATTACAATCACGGTAACAATATTGCAACAAGAAAGATCTCATTCAAAAGGAAGTTGGTAATTCAGTTGGCAAGAGTATTGGACAAAGAAAAACTAGTGTCCCCTTTGGGAATTGAACTTACCACCTTCCACAGTTAGGAACAGTATACCCACTGTATTAAGTACGCCAAAAATTGACCCAAAACCCTCATAGTTGAAAACAGTAAATAGGCATCTGGTGATCATACTGTTCCTACCGATTTACTTGATACAGTTTGAATGGTAAAAGAGGCTTCGTTAAGCCATCTCCAGACTGTGCATGCCAAAATTTAGCAGCATCATTGTGCCTATTTCCTAGATCTCCTTTTTTTTACACTAAAAGATGCTTGTTTGATTCATCTTCCTGTTGCAAATTAGCAAAGCCAAAGGAAGTTTTTCAGTCGCCCTATGATGCATTGTGGAACTATGGTTTACAGTACTTCATGTATGTCTGATTAAAACTTTTCAATATGGTGGACAAATGAGAACCAATTTGGGCAACACAGCAAAGTAGGCAAAAGCCATTAGATAGTAACTATCGAGAGTGCAGTGTACGGTATCTTCGCCATTTGATGTAGTTGTTGAAGCAATCAGTAAGTAAATGTTCACGATCAGTTCAGTTCACGACTTATTGACAGGTTCACCTGTTGGCTGACTCTCGACTGACAGTCGGTGCACACTTAAGTCTGAAACCAAATGAAAACTGTGGGCCGACTGTCGTCTGTTTGATGACAGTTGGCCAACAGTCGTCTGACTGTTGGTGGACTGTCGGCCAACAGTTGGACGACAGTTGGCCAACAAACAACTAACAGTTTGCAGTTAACAGTTGGCTGTCAGGTGACCGATAAGATCTTTTTGCAACTGTTCTTCAATTTTACCTATAAGTCACTCATTTAGTCTGAATGTACGGTTACCCTTTGGTATGGTTACATTTTAAAGCAGGAATTTATGAGCAAAATAAAAAAAAAAATGGTGATTGCAAACTAATTCTCGGTAGAATGAGTACTGAAAAGGTTGCAAAGAGTCAAGATTGTTGTGATAAAGAGGAAAAGTGTTAGCCGTCAACACTTAGATCTACTAATTGAAACTGGTAACTAAAGCTTACATTCTCAGTTTAAAGTTTCTCTCAAAAGGAACATCTCTTGGAATAACTGGCTTGCTATGTTTTGTGAAAGAAAATGAAACAGAAATTATGAAATATAAAATTTAATGTTACTAACAATAATGAAAATAGAACAAAACTAATTACAGTGTAACCTCTATTGAAAGGACACCCTCAGGATCTTTCCTGCTATCTGCTTCGTAGAGGGTATCCCCCTAATAGGCAGGGCAAAAAACTTTCACCTGTCTGAACATCTGAGACAAGTTGTTTTTGGCTTGGATGATTAGGGAAAATATTTTTCCTTCTTTACTCAAAAGATCTTACACCAATTATATTTCTCGTTTGAATCAAGTTTTCCAAAACAGTGCTTTTGATCAATCAATTGCACTGTCCTTGTTGTTCCATAGTATAATTTTTTTTCTTTGTTCCCCTCTGTACATACTGCTCAATCCTTGAAAGTATCCTAATAATTTGTAATAAAAATATTGGAAAAATTCATTTTGATGAGATTTTCATTCTGTTTATTTTGCCTTTTTACTTGATGTGCAGTATTTATAAATATTTTAATGTGAGGCAAGGTGACCTCTAGAAACCATCAGGGTTTTAGTTGAGGCCACCTGGTATGTAACAATATGGTTACATAAATAATGCAACAGTGTGCGGCTTTGCCAGTTCAGTAATTATTTACATGTATGTCTTAGCTGCAAAGGTTAGATTGCAATATTAGCTCAAAAATAATTTGGGATAGGCTTCCCATTCACATTTGTGTTATCTAGAGGTCTGCCAATCCAGCTTAACCATAACGATTTGGCCATTATTCTGAAGTTCATATAATTTAAGCCCCTGTCAGATGAGGTTTGACTAATTATGTCTCTTTATATATTTTTATTCTCCAACTTTACCTCCCCATGATCATAGTCCTCCGTTCTTTAGATACATGATTTCATGATCCATTACCACCTAAGTGACATGCCAAATTCTCATTCCAAAAAAAGAGCAATAGCTATGTATATTAGATAAAGCCAACACTGGGGTTAAAAGCGGTAGGTGAGATTCTTATCATAGAGTCAGACTTTGCCTATGTAATGTTAAGTAGACGGTAATAAGAATATATTGTCATGGTCATAAGTGTGGCGTAAGTAACTGTTTTATGTATATTGCTACCTAGGATCTCCTTTGTCAAAGAAGGCAAAGCTGGTAGGGGAATTTTCCAGTGGATGTCAACACAATTTTGCACAGAGCAAGGTGGGTTTTACTGATCAATATATACAACCTTAACAATAGGATTGGATATGCATGGACATACCATAAATCCTTGAATTAGCACCCGGGGCACTTATTTCAAATTTAGGAGAAAACTGGGGGC